GGGGCAGCCTGGGGCTGCAAGGGCGTGACCTCACTGCCTGCATCTGTGGTACTATCAGCAGTCACTGTGGCTGATTCATCCTCTCTTTGATGGAGATTTGTTTGTTTTAATTCTTGGAGAGAAGGTTGCGTTATGTGGCCGGGCTCTGCAGAGTTCAGCATCCCCAGGCCTTAGCCTCTTGAGTGCTTAGGTTACAGTCAGATGCCTCAAACCTGACTAATAGATACAGCGTTTGAGAGCCGTGAGTGGAAATAAAATGTCCTTAAGACCCAGTCTCAGGGCCCGGCTCACCTCCACCCTGTAGAGTTGACCGAAGTCACTGAGGAAGGGACAGGAGACAAAAGATGGGGGAGAAGTCATGCCCCGTCGCTTGGCCGAAGTGGTGGCTTGGGGAGGGAGGGTCAGGGTCAGGCTGAGCCAGCCCACTGATGTGCCAGTCAACAGTGGGTTCCCTGACTCTTTACCTCTTTCTTCCCACCATTATACACCATGATTTGATCCAGTAATATCACTATGACCTATGACTAACTTCATTAATAACAAAAGGTGCAAAACTCACTTTTCAACCCCAGGCAGAGTCTGAAGAAATAGGTTCTGTCCTGGCTGCCGAGGAACCGGAGCAGGCACAAGGCAGGGTGTACTGAACCTGCCCAGAGCCGGATAGGCGATTCTCACCTGCTCCCACTGGCAACACCCGTGGGTTCATAACACTGTCAAAACCACACTCTTCATGCCAAGTCGGCATAGTCCCTTAACACCAACGAGGCAGCCACACGTGTGATGCCAGCCGAGGTTGCCAAACCGAGACAGAGTGTGAGTAAGGTATATGCTGGCCTCTTAAGACTTCAGGATTGAAGGTTAATATGATCTGCCATCCGTAAGTTTATAGTGACCGAGGATCAAAGTGGCCATGTTCTGACATATCAGGTTACATAAAATGTTGCTTTATAATTAATTTAAACTGTTGCCTCTTAATCTGTGGTCGTACCTCCTAGCAGCAGTGGGTGCAATGTGCTCAGGGCAGGGCTGCTCTGGACACTCCCCCGCTGCTTAGGTTCACACAGTTCACCGGGCCACTGAGTTCTTGTTGGAGCAGCAATTCTTTCTGCTGCTTTTATCTGCTTGGCCTTTAACTGTGTTTTTATCTTCTTCTGTTTTCACAATGATGCATTAACAAAATCCTTTGTTTATTAAGTGCAAAGAGGAAATGATACGGTGAAGAGAGAGAGAGAGTTAAAAAAGCAGCCCTACCTGGTCTTGGGCAGACTTTGGTAGTAATGTTGTCTGTCCCTCTGTCCCTCTGTCCCCCAACACTAGCCGACAGCCGCTGCAGCCCCTCCACAGTGCCCATCAGGGAAGACTTTCCAGCGAGTGCCATGGCTGAGACACTTAGCCTCTGTCGGGTGAGGCTACATCCTGCTGACCAACCAGCCGTGTGAGGAAGTCTCACAGGAGCTTGGTAAGCAAATCAGGTGACAGCTGGGAGTCACAGTGGATATGCCCATGTCTCCCCAAGAGCTCAGCTTCAGCAGCTTCCCATCTCTCCTTGCTTCGCAAGGAAACACACATCTGCAATGACATGTCATAGTGCCACCTTGTGGCCATCCCAGTTACCAGCACCAGCCACCTCCAGATGGTCCCTCTGCCTGACAGTAGTCACCCAGCGGCTGAAGCAGGTTCTGGGAGATGTCTCCGTGGTTCTTTCGTCCAGTCTAGGGTGAGAGCTTCTGGCCCTGAACTGCATCCTAAGCCCCTCACCTTGTCCTTAAAAGGCCACAGGTGACCCCCGACAGCCATCTGCTTCAGACGGCGCCAAGCCAGGATGTGCTAAGCGTGAATTTCTGTTTCCAAAGACTAAGTGACAAAGTTTTCAGAGCCTTTAACAAGGTTACGAAGTTCAGAAAGCTTCAGAAGCAAAATTAGTCCCTGGATGTGACCAAATCAAGACAAGGCCACGGTGTGCCTTCTGGCCTCTGCCTGGGGCTTTATCAATCCCTCTTTGGCTTTGTCGGGCCCTTTGTCCTGTGGGATGAGGTTCAATTATCTCCCAGCTTTACAAGTAACTTTGAAAGAGGCCACAGACCGGTCATTGTCAATTTGGAGATGCATTCAGAGGGAGAGGAAGACCCAGGAAGCAGAGGGCATTGACCATGGCCCACTCCCCACGGCTCTGCCTGGTGAGGCCCGGACTTGAGCCCACCTCCTCAGCTGCCACCTCTGCTTTCTATCACAAAGACTCTTGAATTTTAAAAACAGTCTTAACGCTTACTCCACCGTCAATGGAAACACCCCAAGGCCAGCAAGGACCTTGGGGAAGTATGCCATCCCTTTGCCTTGTTGCTTCGCTATGATCACCCAGCCTCTCACCCTCCCCTCGGGCTCTCTCTCAAGGCCCTGCCAGCTCTGCCCAGCAGATGAGCACACCACCTGGCTTTGCTGAGGGAGAGTGGTCACACCAAGCAAGGCCTGGGCTTCCTCTCATGCGCCCCTCCCCGTCTCTAGCACCTCCTGCTTCCACCCTGGTCCACCTGAGATGTGTCCGCACCTCCTCCTTGTCTGTCTCCTTTTCTCTGTGTCTTTGCCGTCTGCAGCTCAGATCAACTCTGTTTCCTTCGACCTTGACACTGGCCATCCAGAGCCATCCTAGATTGCCAGTGGCCTCTATTGACCTACACTGACCAGAGAGAGAGAGAGAGAGAGAGAGAGAGAGAGAGAGAGAGCTCCTGAGTCCAACCCTCATGGACTCATGATTGTGCTTGCTCTCACTGAGCCACACAGCCACCTCACAGACCACGCCCTCACTGAGCCACACAGTCACCTCACAGGCCATGCCCTCACTGAGCCACACAGTCACCTCACAGGCCACGTCCTCACTGAGCCACACAGCCACCTCACAGGCCATGTCCTCACTGATCCACACAGCCACCTCACAGGCCACGTCCTCACTGAGCCAAGCAGCCTCCTTACTCAGTGGCTATTACTGATCCAAACACCCCTTTTGTAGATTCCTTGAAGCATAGTTATCCTCCTGTGCCCAGCACTCAGCAAGGGCTTGTAGTGGTATTTGCTCTGCCCATGACTTTGGGCTACAGGGCCCAAAGGAGGTGGTGCTTCCTGCCCCTGGACAGACCTCTTATGAGGGAAGGAAGAAGGGTCGCATGCCCCTTCTCCCTGCTGCCTGGGAGGTGGATTCACTCCTGGTCAGATCAGAGGACGACTCACATGGTTGATCTTAACAAGTGGAGCCCAGCGCCAGGCATCTTCTTTATTAACCAATCATAGCAACACATATTCACAGCGTACAGAAAGACCATCCCACAGCAAGGGCTCTAGACAGAACTTAGAGCTGAGAAGACATGGTTTTTTATCCCTTCCAATTCTAGATAACTGCTTTACCCATCAAGGATGGTGGTGACACATGGAGCTAAATGAACCTTGAATAAAAATATGTACCTTTGCCAGCAATCGAAAGTTATTCAGGATAATCGGTCATGTGGGCCGGTTGGTGTTCTTCCTCCTACAAAATGGCCATTACTTCCCAATAATGCTGACCTGCTGTGGTAAAGTCATATTATTTCTCTAGTTTTCTCACAGTGTGATAGAATGCAGAGATTGACAACTGTTGTGGACTATTATTTTAACTAGGCAAAAATGTGTTATATGTGTTTACGCTGCCGACTATTACTTTAACTGTGTGAAGGTGTGTTACATCCGTTTATGCTTCATTTGTTTAACGATGTAAGGATGTGTTGCATTTGTTTCACCTTGCCTGCCTGGGGCACCTGGTTGGTCTAATACAAAGCGGAAGCACCCGTAGCTAGGCAGGAGAGGGACAGGCAGGGCTGGCAGGCAGAGAGACTAAAGCGGAGGCGAGATCTAGGCTCTGGAGGAAGAAGGAACGAGAGGAAGAGAGAGGAAGAGAAGAATGGAAAAATAGGGGACATGCAAGAAGGTAGATAAATAGAAATAGGTTAATTTAAGTTAAACGAGGTAGCCAGAAATGAGCCTAAGCTAGGCCCAGTGTCCAAATGAATAAGTCTCCATGTCGTGATTTGGGAGCTGGTTCACGGCCCAAAAGAAAAAGCCTGGTACGGCCAACCTTCTTGCACACAGGATGTGAGACCTGTGCAAACAAGCCCCACACCTTGGTCTTCTCAGTTGTAAGTGGGTCCAGGCTTCTATTTCGGATGATGTGGAACAGGAGTTCTAACTATTCCTTGACCCAATCCAGGCCCGTGAGATGCATTTAGGGGCAGGAAACCAACAAGGAGGGAGCCGCCCTTCAACAGAATAATTTAAAAACTGGACATGGAAGGTAGTATTCGACACATACCCCCAAAGAGTGAAAGCAGAAACAGACAGCATATGACACTTTTCACAGCAGCCTCTAGACAGGAACAACCCAAGTGTCCATTTACAGATGACTGAGTGACTATTTGTCATCTACCCAATAAAGAAGTCACAGACAGCAAGGAAATTCTGACATGCTAAGTGGTGGGTAAGTCTTGAGGATACTGTGCTGAGCAAAATAAGCCAGTTACAAAACTCCAGATGCTGTGAGACTTCACAGACCAGTTCACGGAGGCTAAGGTTGGTGGAGGCTTTGGAGTGGCTGGGTGTGGGATGTGGATGTGGGAGTCAGGGTTTACCGAGTGTGAAATTTGATTTGGGACAGTGGAAGCTTCTGGAGATGAGGGAATAGCACAAACAGCGGCACAATGGTGTGAATGTACCCAGTGCCACTGATGTAGACACAGAACAACTGAGGTGGTAACACTATGTGGACTTAGCCACGATAAAGGGTAGCACATTGCATTTGTTTTTAATCTTGTTAATTTTTGTTTAGAATGCATTTCTTGAAGTTATTTCTGCTTACTTCACTTTGGGGGAATAATTATTCTATACACGTTGTTTTAGAAAGAGAAAAGAAGGTAGTTGTCTAATTTCTAAGGCTGCTTGCTCCAAGCTTCATTCCAATGGGATCTCTGCAGAATAGGAGGGGGAAATGAAATGCAGAACAGGAAGGAGAAGAAGAAAATCAACTCAGTCAGTGGACAAGCATCTATAAGTGAATTCATGAATTTTCAAATTAATTAAAATTAATAAAAACATTACATAGGGATAAGCATTGTATCAAGGTGTGAGATAAATTGCCAATTCATCACATTAATGAACGAGAGAGGAAAAGCCACGGGATTCTCTCTGGAGCGGCAAAAGAAGGCATTTGATACAGTCACATTGTAGTTTATAATTAGAACTCTCTAGAAGGAAACAAAAATGGCTTTTCATGTGGGTAAAAGCCGGCAGCCGACACCTGCAGGGAAAGGTGGAGACAGAGCAAGGCCTGCTGGGAAGTCCTCAACGGATGGACATGTAGATACCTCCCAATCTTTGCCATGAAAAATCCTGTTACAAAGAAAAGGTATTGTCTACACATCATTTTGATGAAGAGAGACAAGAATATCATTAAAGTAGGAAGCAGGGGTGCGGGGAGGGGGCGGGGAGGGGGAGTGGGAGTGGGAGGAGCTTAAGTCAAAGGGGGCATGTGTGGGTAATATGTAAGCTGTGCTGATTGCTTGCCTGGATGTAGACCCGCCCACCATTCTCCCGCAGAGCGTAGACTGGTGCACACGGCCCATCGTGTGGTACACCGCTGATTTCACCCATCTGCCTAATTAAAAACATCTGTGTGTTTTAATTTGCATTTGCACACTATGCATGCACCCAAGCATTTCTGAATGCTTATGAGCTGGTGTCGATTGTGTAAAACACGGGTTCTTACTCCGTGTCAATTTTCTATTGAATTATTGAGGCCTTTCCGCCCCCCCCCCCCTTGGCCATTTTTGGTCCTAGATACTAGGACAACTGTTTTATTTCCCACTTGAATTTTTTTCTCTTGACTTTGACACGTGCTATTTTCCCTTTTGTTTCGGAGTATCTATGTGGCCAAATTGATCAATTGTATCTTTTGTGACTTTTTAAGTGTGAGAAATATTTAAAAAGAAACCTTTGTGTGTGTGTGTGTGTGTGTGTGTGTGTGTGTGTGTGTTCTAGTTTTCTCAAGCAGCACACAGTACATAAAAAAGAGAAGTTATTTGAAATAGCATACTTCTAGGTACAATTAGAATCATTGGATGTCTGTGCTTGATTTTCCCAAGCTGTTCTTACTTCATGAAGAAAACAGAAATGGGCCCAGGTGTGGTGATGCACACATATTTAATCCCAGCACTTAGGAGGCAGAGACAGAAGGATCTCTCGGTGAGTTCAAGGCCAGCCTGGTCTATGTAGCTATTTTTAGAACAGCGGGGGGGGGGGGGAGATACATTGAGAGACCCCATCTTGAAAACAGAGAGAGAAAAAGAAGGGAGGGAGGGAGGGAGGGAGGCAAGAAAACCAAAACAGAATAGCCATTCACTTCTTTGAACAAGAAATGAGGCTTGCTAGGACTTCCTAAGGGGAGTGTGACGGGGGCCTGGTGATGAGGGTGGAGGTGAGGAGGCTTTAGTTCATGAGTGGTACCCACAGAGACCACAAAAGGGCACAGGATGCCCTGGCTCTGGAGTTACTGATGGTTGTAGGCTCCCATGTGGATGCTGGGTTCCCTGGGCCCTCTGCAGGAGCAGTGAGTGCTCTTCACTGACAAGCCATCTCTCCAGCCCCTGAGAGGGAAGATTTTTAAAAACTATTCTAAACAAGCTTCGTGTCTGGCTGCACCTGCGTACGCTGCTACAAAGAGAAAAAAGAATTCATAACCTGCATCTCTCATTTAGATGCATGGAAAAATGGACTTTGCACACAATGGGTTTGAAGCTGACTGGGAACAGTAGAAAAAAATTGCATTAGCTGTGGTTGTAAAGTTTTTTGGCTTTTTTTTTTTTTAAGCATTTTGTGAAAGGTTTCTGAAACTTGATAATAAAAAGCAGTTGGTGTGGGAAAAAAAAACCTATTCTAAATACTGTGTTAGGCGCCATTCAACATATTGTGTGTTAAATTGCATAGTTCTATTAACCGCCAAGAATTATTAAAACGGACACAAGCATGGGGCTCATTGAAATTGTTTAAAGAATGGTTTTTATTTAAAAATCCTAAGGTCTCAGAGGAGGAAGGCAGAACCCTGCTTTTCCTAATTAAACAGCAGCAGCAACAACACAAAGTCCCCCTACATTTGATTAGTTTATTAAAATGTAGGTCACAGCGGACTTGAAGGCACATTCGATTGTGCCTTGAACGAAAAGTTCCAACCGGGATGCGGCCACCTGCCCGCTGTCCCCAACCTGCCATCCTGCTTCCTGTGCACTCAGCATTACCCGGCCGGGGTCCCCTTCACAGGACAGGAAGCAGGGACACAGGAAGCACCCACTCCACCTTCCTGTTCATCTGGTGGGACCCTGGGAAAGGGCTGAAACTCTTGAAGGCTGGAATGACATCGACCACTTGATGCAAGAAAAGACTGTTTTTATCTGCTTGATTTTTTTTTTAATCATAAAGTTTGTTCAACTGGAGAAATAAAACTGGAAAAACGCCCAGAAACCCGGGTGACTTCCTCCTTGCCAGACCACTGCCTCTAAACACCACCGTGTCTGCTCAGCTGTCTCTGAGAGGACTGTCTCATCCAGGTAAACACTTGATCCAGATATGCTGGGACTCAGACCATGCAGAAGGAAGGGAGCCATCTAAGGTGTTAGGGTTGAGCATCTGGGGGCTCTGGAGAGAGGAACCAGCCACATCCCCCGCAATCTCTCAGAGAACCCAGGGCCTGTCTGAAGACATAGGCTGGGATCTCAGAATGTGAATGAGAAAGGGAGAGACCCTGTCGTAGATACTCATCAGGTACTGGTCTCCCAATACAGCGTCCTTCAAGCTCTTAGGCAGGCCAGAACATCCATGAAAAGATTCTCCTTGTCCTGACTCAGTTCTGACAGCCCAAGGGCCAGCCTGACCATACTTGCTGGCTCAGTCGTCTTGGCTCCTTGATCTGTGCATGCTGGTCTCACCGTCGCAAGCTATGCTGAGAGACCAGAAGCTGCTCTGACAGAGGAGGTCAGTGAAGTTGCAGAGCCTCTTGGAGGCCATGGGGCATCCTGCTGTGGGATGGTCTGTATATCAAATCTCTTGCTCTGATTGGTCAATAAATAAAACACTGATTGGCCAGTGGCCAGGCAGGAGGAAGTATAGGCGGGACAAGGAGGAGAAGAATTCTGGGAAGTGGAAGGCTGAGTCAGAGAAACTGCCAGCCCGCCAGGACAAGCAGCATGTGAAGACACCGGTAAGCCACAAGCCACGTGGCAAGGTATAGATTTATGGAAATGGATTAATTTAAGCTATAAGAACAGTTAACAAGAAGCCTGCCACAGCCATACAGTTTGTAAGCAATATAAGTCTCTGTGTTTACGTGGTTGGGTCTGATCAGCTGTGGGACAGGCGGGTGACAAAGATTTGTCCTGACTGTGGGCAAGGCTGGAAAACTCTAGCTACAAATGGCGTCCAACGTGGGGCAAGAGTTTCCACCTAAAACCTGAGTAAAAAGATTCTAAAATGGAGCTAAAAACAGTTCCTAGTTGTTTCTCTCAAGTTAGTGGCAGCCTGTGTGTTTGAGCTACTATGGTGGGTTCCTGATGTGCTTGCTCGACCTGCAATATGGCGGGAATGAGGCCTCTGCAAGTGGCACATTAAGCTGCATGGTGGATTTAGCCTTTGCTAGTACAAAACAAAAAAAGAGGTTTCTGGGCTACACGCTGCTTTGATAGAAGCATAGACCCACTATTTCTGAGAGCTGATGGCTCCCAGAGCTGGCAGAAAATGTACCACCGCCATGTTGGGAAGCTGAAGTGGGTGGAGCCAGCAGCCACAGCGCCGTTTCAGTCTTAGAATGCTGCAGTTTAAAGCAATAGATTCACAATAAGACTGATTCAGATAAAATCATTTACAATGTGTGTAAAATATATGTAGGCTTGAAAGAGACAAAAAAAGATAATTTAGCCGGGCGGTGGTGGCGCACGCCTTTAATCCCAGCACTCGGGAGGCAGAGGCAGGCGGATCTCTGTGAGTTCGAGGCCAGCCTGGACTACCAAGTGA